ATAAAGGGTCACTAGGAATCAGACTCTTCTTGGCAGCAGTGGGTTTGTCATTTGATTCTTGGACTTAAATGTAGTTGTGACAGAGATCACTTGTGATACACAAAGCCAAAACCATGCATCTTTCTTCCCTAAATGTCTATTAACTTTCCTCCCAACTCCTTCAGTACTGACTGCTGATTTAGTTGCCATGGTGGGCTTAACCCTACATCACAGAACTGTGTTATGTCACTGATGACATCACACAAGGGCTCTGGAGAGCATTAATATTCACTCAGCAACCCAGTTCGAAGTGTTATTTCTAACAGTTCCTGTGAAAGAGTGACTTTTTAGATATCAATTTTTAAAAAAGGGAAAAAATTGGAGAAGCCAGCATCCCCAGCAGAAACAGAAACATCACCCTGACCCAGAGTTCCTCTCCAGATCAGGTTTCCCCTGACAGAATGAAGCGTCAATTCAAGACTAAGAGGCCTACTCCCAGCTCTTCTGGTAAGATGAAGAGAGGTCTTTTTCTCCAAAGGTATGGCATTTTCTCCAGAAATAGAGAGTCAGATGGGAAAATTAAAAGGATAAGATGATTAGGAGGAGGTTTTCTGTGTCACCAACATACAGCATAGAGGGGGGCATGGGGAAAGAATATGCACCTCTCTGCAGTCTCTTGACAGTCTCCTGCCATTAAGATTTACAACCTCAGAAGCCCAGTGGAGTGAGGGTTGGTTGTTCTGAGACAGAATTGACTCAACATTAGGTAGTTATTTTTCAGTTTGTAGTTTCTTTATGATGGTCAATATCAACTTCAAAACTATCTCAAGAGAAGACACCATCCTTTACGTATCTACCCTGAAGGCTTGCAAAAATTCATTGTCATTATGAATAGCCTTGGATTGAAATTGAGGAGAGGATCTGGGACTGAATAGGTAATGGAGACAGGTGATCTGATATGGATCCCAAAAGAGGAGGCTGATGTTTAAATCGGAGAGGAAGCATGAGGGTCCAAGGATGGGCCACCCTGCAGGCCTGACAGCTCTGCCTCAGCTGTGCAGTCCTAACACCTAACCTCTGGTTTTGCAGTGCAAGCCACAGGATTGCCCTTTTGGAGGTCATTTACTTGCTCCTGAATTCTGGAGCTCATCAAAGACTCTCTAAGGGAAATGTTTCAGGGAGAGCTTCACATCATCGTGCACCCTACCCTTCCCTTCTTTTTGCCTCTCCTGGCGCAATGAGTTTTGCGTATTCCAATCCTTCAGGATTTTAGGGTGCTGCTCAAGTACAGACTCTTATTTCTCACCCTCTACTCTCCCTGGTGCAATGAATTTCACCTTCTTGTTTATTTTCCCGTATTCCTTCAATCATTCAATAAGTTATTCCTTATATCATCTCTACTCTTCTATCTACAATGAGTACGTGGACAGATGCTATTTAATACTTTTTCTCATTTTACAGGGATGATGAGATGATGTAGAGATTCACATGAGAAGAAACTAGAAATACTACAAGAAAGAGTTCACTGATCTACACTTGTGTGTGATACACATACACAAGTATGTGTGTGTATATATATCAATGCCTTTGAATTGTGGAGAAGAGTCTTGAACATACCTTGGGCTTCTAAGAAAACAAATAAGTCTGTCTTAGAGAGGGTGAATTCAAGTTTATCCTTAGATGCTGGGGTTTTGAAGCTCCGTCTCATATACTACGGACACGTGCCCAGAAAAGATCGGTCCTTGCAGAAGGACATCAAACTTATAAGGACGGAAGGACAGCATAGGAGAGGAAGACCCTGGTTGAGATGGATTGATACAGTAACTGGGGCAATTAGGCTTGGTGTGTCAGAATTAGTGAGGCTGGCTCAGGACAGGGCAGGATTCAGAGCTGCTGTGCATAGGTTTGCTGGCAACTTGATGGTATCTAATAACAACAATAACTATATAACTGTGTATATATAACTATGTAAATATAACTATAACTAACTATAACTATATAACAACTATATAACAACTATATAACTATATAACTATATAACTATATAACTATATAACTATATAACTATATAACTATATAACAACTATATAACTATATAACTATAACTATATATAACTATATAACTATATATATATAAAACTACATATATCACTATATATAACACTATATATAACTATATAACTATAACTATATATAACTACATATATAATTATATATATAAAACGATATATAACTATATATATATAACTATATATATATATATATATATATATATATATATATATATATATATATATCCCTATTTGACATTGTCAACTCTTTCATCTTACTTGGATCCACAATCAACACACTTGGTACCAGAAGTCAGGAAAGCAAAAGATTAATTGCATTGGGGAAATCTGCTGTCAGGGACCTCTCAAGAGTGCTGAGGAACAATGAAGTCAGCCTAGAGTGTGTCTGTTAGGCCATGGTCTTTGCAATTACATGCTATGCATCAGAGAACTGGACAATGACTAAGGATGACAGAGGTGAGATAGACTCAAGGTCATATTTTGGACTTGTTTTCATTTTCTTCAGCCACAATTTGAACTTATACATGAGTAATTGCTGCTGATAATAAGCTTATCCAATAATTCCTTCCACAGATGAAGTCAATTTGACTCCTGTGAAGTCCATCAGGTGAGGTCCATGTGTAAAGTTGCTGTTTCTGGTTTTTTAAAAAAGTTATTTGGATGAGTGAATCACTGAACATAAATAATTTCTGTTGCTAAGTCTGTACTTTCTGACTATCATTCTTTGTTATTTCCAATTTTTGCATTCCTGTCTACAATTAATGCATCTTGATTGCATATTTGGTCAATTTTGGACTGCAAAATTTGGTAAAAATCTTCAATTTCCTCCTCTTTGACTTTAGCTTTTGGTGTGTATATTTGAATAATAGTCGTATTAACAGGTCTATCCTTGTATGCGTATGGATAGTACATGTGCACTTCAGGATAAAACTTTAAATTATCTTTTTTTAAAATATTTTTTATTGGGAAAAACATATTGGGGGTACAAGGAGGTGAGGGTTGGGGGCAGAAGGGTGAGGATGGGCCAGGATGCAG